GAGAGAGAGAGAGAGAGGGGGGGAGAGATAGAGAGAGAGAGAAAAAAAGAAAGATAGATAGATAGACAGATAGATAGAGAGAGAGAAAGGGAGAGAGCGAGAGAGAGAGAGAAAGAGAGAGAGAGAGAGAGAGAGAGAGAGAGAGAGAGAGAAGGAGAGAGGGGTGGTGAAATAAATGAAGAGGGGGAAGATTGTAAGTGTCAAAGCGAGTAGGTAATTGGGTTCATGAGTAAATGGGATTTCACAAACCAACTAGACTGTTTCAATGATTAATTTAGTGATAAAAAGTAGAAGTGAAGTCTATAAAAATGTTGACCTTAATAGTTGCGGTAATGAGGGAGTTCTATGTGAATAAAGAAAGGAACTAATGAATCGGAGATCTGTGAGCTTACCTATGAATGACTTTATAAAGCAGACAGAGTCTAGAAGCAGACACGAAAGAAAGGACATCATTTGATGGGGAATGATTGAAGAAAGATTCACGCGATGTTTCCAAAGAAGGTCGGAGTGATTGAGCGATTGAGTGGTTGAATAAAGGAGGAAAATGTTGGAAAAATGAGTCTATGAATCAGTGAGTCGGTGAGTCAGTGAGTCAGTGAGAGAGATGGTGTATGTCTGTGTTTATTCTCCTGGTTAAGTAGGACATGATAGTCTGTATTGAGGAAAGAAAAACTCAACGTAAATCACAGCGATAAAACAATATTGATCGCGAATCTGTCTAAATTTGCGTTTCACATTCACTAAAGCTCTCAGCAGACCAATTCTTCACGGACTACATACAACGTCTATACACAACACTAAACAAACTAATGGAATGAAAACACGAAAGTCATACTTTTTCTTCCAGCTTTATTTCTTTTTCTCCATCTTCTTTCCTTCTTTTCGTCTCGTCTTTGACATCATCCAAATTACGAGTCGCAACTCGTCCCCAAGTTTTTATTTTGTTTTGGTTTTTTTCTTCCCAGAATCCTCTAGACATACTATGTTTAATCACATTGTTGATGGGATGTATAGGTGAACTGTGTTACTATTACTTGATCCATTAATACGTGTGGGTACCAAAATGAAGTACTTCTTCTTTGTTGTCCAACGCGAAAACTTTAGTGGAAATTGTAGTTATTGTTAGCACGAGAAATATGAATGCAACAAAACAGAATATAGGAGAAGCTGATACAACCACGGAAGCGGAGACATAGACTATGGGAAATAGACTGGTTCAAACGTTACAACAATGTCTCATTTAGACAGTAAAATGTATCCAGGTTTACTCTCTCTCTCTCTCTCTCTCTCTCTCTCTCTCTCTCTCTCTCTCTCTCTCTCTCTCTCTCTCTAACGCTCCAAAGTATTGTTCTTTTTCATTCTCTCTCTCTCTCTCTGTGTCTGCCTTTCTTTCAATATAATATTTCAATCTCTCTCTCTCTCTCTCTCTCTCTCTCTCTCTCTCTCTCTCTCTCTCTCTCTCTCTCTCTCTCTCTCTCTCTTTTCTTTCTCTGCCTCTCTCTTAACGTCAAAGGACCATTCAGTAAAGCGCCACTTTCTCACGAACGAAAATAGCCACCTACAAAATAGAAGATTCTTAAGTTCAAAGATCAGGCAAAGAAAAGGTTATTTATTTATTTTATTTGCTCATAATTGTCACAGAGGATATCGCATACATTTAAAAAGTCACATGACTAACAGTGCTGTAACTGCTGATATTTGAGCTGGATAGTATGACATTTCACAAAAAACAACTCAAAGGAACAAAATTATACTAATACATAATTAACCCCCCCCCCCCCCCCCCCCCCACACACACAAAAAAAGAAAATAATTTTTTTTTATTTCGAGCGGGTAATTAACTCCTATCAAAGAAAAAATTGTTATTTTTCTCAAAGATTTTGAGCATTTATATGTGCGACATCATGTCAACCGTCTTCAGGTAGATCAAAGGATGTCGATTTTATTCCCATTTCGTTATGCTGAAGGGCTCTGTCTGGCTCTGGTGGGTGTTGGATCGAAAAAGTGTAAAGTGAAAGCGATCCCCATGTTGTCATCCCACTTATTCATTCCTGGAGAGGATTGGGAAGGTGGGGGTTTGTTTGACTTTCTGTCGTCTGCATCATTCACAGTAGGCAGCTCGTTAGTCGCCATAATGTGGAACAGTTCTCATTTTTAAAGCAGACTTTGCTGTGGGAATAACATTATGTATTTGTCTAAGGGGAACATTGAAGGATTTTTATTTATTAATGTTAGTAAGTGTTTTACGGCACTTGCAACACAATAAGGTCATATACGTGCCGCACACTGAAGGATTTACTACGGTAAAAGTCGTCCTGAACCTCTATCACAATTTCTACAATCCTGGAACTCTGTTGTGAAATTCACAAAACAATCTCCCAACTCATAAAAAAACCAAACGTATATCAATTTAGTCTATTGCTTGTCACGGCCTCATTTAGCTGTCCTAATAAATATCTTTTTTCGGGTGTTGACAAAAAAAGAAAATGAACTTCCTGTTTCCATATCCTATGTTCGTCCCTCGTCTGTCCCCTTAGGGAATGCGGGATGTAGAAAATCTTTTTTTAGAATTCGGGAACTACCACTCACTGGTCCTTTAGAGATAGGTTTATTTGCCTGGTCTCTACCTTCCACCCAACTCATAAGATAAATTCAATTTTTTTGTGGACTTAACAGCAACGTTAATTATTTCTCTTGTTCTTTGCTTTTTGTTTTTTATTCCCCTGAAAACGACCGACAAGTCGCGTGAACCGAATTAATTTGGTCTTTCTTCCTTTTCTTTTTGAAGAATTGTTTGTGTCCAAATTTGAAGCTCAAATCAAACGGTCGAGGTTGATTTAAAAAAGCACAGAAACTATTTCAAGCTGACAAAAACACCGAGCATAATTATTAAAGACAAGCGAACTCTCCAGGAATTACGAACGAGTTGTGAAAAACAATGCGACGACAGCTAAACTAAACACCAGTCAGGCTTTCTCGGAGCGAAAAGAAAAATCTCCTTACGTTAATTAAGTAAGTTGACAACTCCCGTGGGTTTACAAACACTTTAACCAATCGTTGACTCCCACGCGTTGTCAGTGGAAACAAATGAAAACGTTCCTCTTAATAAACTCTTTTTTATGCATCGAAACGTTTCCATGAGCTGTGTTACCAAGATGGGTCTACTGTTGGTATTATAAGGAGGAGGGGGAGGGGTAAGGAGGATTTGGGGAAAGGAAAGCGGAAAAGAGGA